ATAAAGGTAGAGTTAGCGATATCTTTGCCGGCTGCCTAAGCAAACTCGGGGAAAACAAGAATAATAGAGCAAGACCAGCAAAAAGGAGACGCCTGGACCAAGTATATGCCGCTAAAAGGAGGAAATTGGATTTCGGTGACGAAAGTGTGGGGAGGGGTTTTCGGCAATTAAGCCAAAACGTTGTCAATGCGTGTTGTCCATTTTGAATAAACCAGTACAACTTTGGGGGCCTGACAGTCAGGGAGCCGGTTAGACGGATAAGCAAACCGTCACATAAATTAGGCGTTCTGGCCAAATGCACTAGAAATCCACTTGAGATACCGCATGCGATCAGAGTTAGGCGTCCACAGTTTGCTCAGATAACGGGTTTAATCAAGGAGATGCCCCGTAAAGAGAAGGCCTGAAATCCGCAAGGATGGAAATCAGAGCTTAAGCGCTCCGCTCAGTGAAGCGGCAGTGTATGCGCTTCTAGGGCCTTTAGAAATAGCACCTGGAGTAAAATGCACACAGGGACTGGACCCGAGTGAATTCGGTCAACCAGAAAGATAAGGAACGGATCTACGAGCCAATGAAAGGATCCGGATTGGAGGCCTGAGTGGGATAAGCCCATCGAAAGAGAGGGGTCGGGGTAAATAGCAAGTGTGATGAGGCCACACTAGGCTTGCCACAAAAGGGCACACATTTTGACGACTAGAATGTAAACAAGTGAAAAGTTGTGATAGGGCGGCAGTGGGATAAGAGGGTAAGAGTAGATAGATAGGTAATGACAGAAAGAGGAATGATAGTGTAACCGTTTTCGGCAGAACGGTTGTCGAGGGATTGACTTTACTTGTCTCTGATGCGTTCGTAGCTTGGTGCGGATAATGGCAAAGCTCACTGATGATGCCGACTACGATGCCTGCGAAACGTTTGAGAATGTATCAAGTCCACTGTCAGATTCTGGGAATCATGTCAAATACTATCGCAGACAACTTCGGACTAGGTGTGTTCTACATAGTAGCCCTGACAACAAGACCGAGTTGCGACAACGAGGTCAACGAATTTCTATTTATGTTTTTATTTACCTTTCTTTGCCATCCTAAAACTCGATCTAATGCAATACTTTTATTAAAATTCTAGGAAAATTAAAAATTAACGATAAGTTAGGAACATGATAGAAGTGAAAAGTATTTCTTCTTTATTGAAAGCATGAACGGATCGAGAATGTTCTTCGTATGAGCGGATTTTGTTTATATAAGATCGATGTCGATTCCACACTTCTCTTACTGCTTTTTAGATTACAAACTCGAAGGCTATGATATAATGAGATATATTCACCCTATTTCGTCTAAGGTGATGATATATGAAGGCTATGATATAAGCCCAAATCGTACTTTCAAAAGATACTGATTGGATTGGAAAGTGGTAAATTTGTTTGTTCCATTTCCTTTCATTCGACCAGTTGTTTCGTATTTGATTGTTACCCTAGTTTACTGAGTTTGTTTTCTGTTCACTATGAATTCTTTAAATTCTGCCCGTTCTCATTCCTTATCTGTACATACTATTTTTAAACACTCTCATCATTTTCCTCCTCACATCAGCTTCATTCTCCAGCTTCCCGATTGCCTCAGGTGACTGATTCCGTTTTCTCTCTGCCTGCCATTGCCCCCGCGTTTTGGCCCATAGACCTACCCATTTGGATTTTACAAGCTTCAAGCAGCGAACTTACTGTCTCCGAACTAGCCGAGCCTAGTAAATATCTCTATTACGATGGCAATAACTACGAAAAAAATGACTCTGGAGACGACAACCACAAAGATGAATGTAACCTTAGTGATCGAAATATTTTGTCCTCCCACCAATCCATTGTCAAACA